TTAATAACATTTAAATTTAAGTTTTAAAGTTTTTAAATGATTTTGTACTAATCAAGTTTTTGAGTTATTAAGTAAATTAGCTTAAATTCACGTCGTTACTTACAATATTTGACAAAATGTTATTTTTTATTTATTTAATAGTCACGGATCTCTCTTATTTATTAACATTCGTTGACATCCTTAATACCCTAAATTCTTGTGGGTATTAAAATGTCCTGCGCGTCTCTATGTAAACATTTTTTTAATCCCACTCGAAGGAAAGCCTCCAGTAAGAACTCCTTTACCTTCTGCGCTTATCAAGCGATGCGCCAAAGCGTGTCAGTTAAGATGGAATATAGTGGGTGAGCAGGGGCTTTTAAATGTTGAGGTGGGTGTCTTTCAATCATACAAAAGCCAGAGAAGAGAAAAAATCCTTTTGACAATGCAACGCATGAATGTATTTTCTTTGCGCCGGTCCCTCGTTTTTTTTTCTTCACAAACAAATTGAATAGACTAGAGAGAACGAGAAGAATACGAAGACGATTGCCACGTAGCCATAGATCTCACCTATACTGTATGAACGTTTATATTCAGAATACATTTTTCAGAAGCAATTGGTAGTAAACCATCAGGGGCGTAGGCGGGTTGACTTTAAGGGGGAAGGTTTTAAGTCATTTAATATTTATTTTTCATAGGGGGTAACAAAAATATTTTATGTTTTAAATTTAAACATTTGAGAAATTGGGATTATATTAATGCTAAATCAATAAATGAAAATAAATAAAAAAGAATAAATTATAGATAGCTAAGCTTTATAGCCCCCCTCGGACGCCCCTGAACCCACCACGCCCCCTTCAACGCCCCGCTCCATTAGCCTTTGTGTGTGTTTAGGTTGTCGCGCGTATATCACATTTCCGTTTGTTAGCAATTTTTTGTCGTGTACATCTGCATGAATAGCGAAAAGTTTTCTGCTCAACTTGATAGCCCCCCCAACCAGAGGCAGCGTGTAAAAATGTTTATTGTATATTTTTGAATGCCTCGCCTTGGAGTGGGAAGGAAGGGTTTTGGCCCAAGTTGATTTGGAAACAGCTCACGCCTCCCTTCCGTCCAATATTTTCCACACGTCTAACCAGGAAAGGTGGCCAAAGCAAAAAGGCTCGAATTGATTTGCCCCACATCTAGTTGGGTATTTTTCTAAATATTTTGTATGTGCCACAAAGGTTTGGGTATGATGTCTTTTTAATTTGCAATCTTTGATTTATTTCCCATTGATTAAACTTACGCTAATGCTTATTCAGGATTTTTTGTTGAGTTTTATTATTTATTTTAAGTTACTTTTTCTTAAAAGTCTTGAAAATAAATCATCAAGGGCACAAAACCCTTCACTTTTCCATTCTTCAAAACTACCAAAAAAGAGTCGTTCAGTTAATTCCTCTCACCACTCAAGCGAATTTTCGCAGATTGTACCGGTCCCCTTTCGCCTTCCTCCACTAGAAAGCTCAACTAACTGCGAAATTGTTTGGCAACCACAAAAAGAACTGACAGAGAAAGGACCATCAGAGAACACGGCACAGATAAGACCGCCAACTTGTTTGCTTAATAAATAAACTTTATATTCATAACTGAAAAAGTTTCGCAACATGCCTCCTGCCATTTCCCTTGGCGAAACAAACGTGGCCGCTAATTTGCGTGCCAAAAAGTTTGGCCGCTGAATAGTATGCTATGAAATTTCGCCAGCATCAGGAGGAGTTTGTAGGCGCGGCAAAACTACGCGACGGCATTTCCGTTGCCAGAGCGCCAAGGCAGAACATAAATTATATGAGCGTTTCCGCATCAAGAGCACTCAGCAAAAAACACACAAATTTTGTGCATAATATAAATCAAGCAATCTAGAAATTTTTTTATAAACAGGAACTCTTAATATATCTAACCAGAGTTTTATATTATTGGAATATTACATTTATAATGTTTATAATCAAACTGTACATTGCCAATGCAGATTTTCGGTTTCTCAAATTGAAACATTTTTTAGAATAATGGTAACCAAATAGAGAATAATATTTCAAAGTTTGATATCGTTTTTGTTCGTATGGTTTTCTTAAAACTTTCAAAAACTTTTTATTTAGCAAGGAACTAAAAAAAAAGCTTTTATTTTAAAATTTGATTTCTTAAATAAGCAATTTTTTAAAATAATAAAACTGTTTTTCGTTTTACAATAATATGACTTCTACAAAATCCTTAGGATATATTTTTGAAGTGTCCTTTTCTGGCTTTTCTTAAGACGCTATCTTCACCGCAGCAAGGGACGTTCGCTAATCACAAAAGTTTTCGGTTTAAGCCACCTTCAAAGGGGAGGAAAACGGGGTAAGGGCCGATAAACTTACGGGTTAAATACCCTTTGGCCCCACACAGCCTCAGTCTGATTAACAAGACATAATTACTTTCGCATTAAGCGGCTGCCTAATAGCTCGTGTAATTCCACAACTCCTGGAAACCTCTAATCAGCTCATCAGACACAACAAACTAAAGAAAACAAAATTTTAAATTTTAAATTACAAAATACAAAAAAGGCGCATCAACAACGGTGGCAGCAAAATGGAATGAAATGTACGGCAAACCACTCGAAGATAATGAAAGTGCATTGAGGCGGCAAAAGTCGGGAAAACAGTATCAGGTCGAGTGCGAACATTTTTCCATTATGCAACGTGCCACATTCTTTGGCACTCGACGAGGTAGGCCAGAAGAACTGCAAATAAATGATGAACTTAGAATATATCTTTTCTAGTGAGAGGTTGTAAAATAAAAAAAATAATTTAAGTAAAAAATAAAATATATTATTGAAAAATTTGTTTTAAGTAAAACAAGAAAGAAAGCTAGCTTCGGCAAGCCGAAGCTTATATACCCTTGCAGATCATTCTATTAATTTACAAATCGCAAAAATGTTAAATTTCTTATTATTTCACATTAATTTTTCGATCGTTTCTATCACAGCTATATGATATAGTAGTTCGATCTTTTAAAAATTAAAATCGAAATTCGGAAATATTTCAAAATAGTCATATCCCAGAGAAGAAGGGAATGTAATAAAAACCAACAAAGATATAATTTTTTCCCATTAATTTCCATTTAATTTTTCGACCGTTCCTATGGCAGCTATATGATATAGTGATCCGATTTAAAAAACAAAAAAACCGAAATTCAGAAATATAAAGAAAAAAATATTCCCAAGAGGAGAAGGTAAAATTTAAAAAAACACCGGAGCTAGAATTTTTTTACGTTTTTTTTTTTTTGATCCTTCCTATGGGAGCTATAAGATATAGTTGTCCGATCCGGTTGGTTCCGACATATATACTACCTGCAATAGAAATACGACTTCTACGAAAGTTTCATCCCGATAGCTTTAAAACTGAGAGACTAGTTTGCGTAGAAACGGACGGACAGACGGACGGACAGACGGACAGACGGACAGACGGACAGACGGACATGGCTAGATCGACTCGTCTTGTGATGCTGATCAAGAATATATATACTTTATGGGGTCGGAAATGTCTCCTTCACTGCGTTGCAAACTTCTGACTGAAATCATAATACCCTCTGCAAGGGTATAATGATAATGAAAGTTCAACATTTCTATTACAGCGGTAATGAAAAAACTGTTACAGGCTTTTGTAAGTCTTAACTCCTAAACATCTATCAGAATGCGTTTTTCTATTAAATAAGTTTTTACCTTTTAAAAATTTCCTTCTTGTAAGTGAAGCTTCTTTAAATATATTACTTTTTCAATATTAATGCTTTTTAAATAGTCCTTAGAGTTGTTAGCCTGTTATTTTTATTATCATATTTAAAACACTATTTCTTTTTAAATAAGTTCACTTTACACAAAAATAATAATATATTTCGGCTTGATATCCAGTTACTTTGATGTCATACCCATGGAAAAAACAAATCCCACAGGGTATCTCCTCAGGTGTGAGTGCAGGGCAACCTGGAAAAATGCAACGTTTAACCGCCTGAGGTGAAATGTCTGCCGTTCTTTGGTTGGTCCACCTCCCTCGACTTTGCCCCCCATTCCCCAGCACCCGCTTCTATATCCGGACCTGATGAGAAAACGCTTCTATAGCCGGCACATATAGAGGGTTAAAAGCCGGATCCGTTTGGACCTCAGCCAGCCAGTGACAACGTGAGCTCGACAACGGAAAGTGTGATTATATTTTCATTTTCAATTTTTTACGGCCAATTAATTTGACAATTGACGCTTCGCTGGGCGTCTGCGCCATGGAAGATATATATCGGGGGACCTGTGTATATATCCCGGGCGTTGTTGCAAATTGAGTTGTGTGGCAAGAATAAGAAAAGTCTATTATAGTCCCAGGATGGGTTGCCTGCCAGCTATTTGCTTGCCGCATTGTCTGGCCATCCTGGCATCCGCTTGTTCTGTGGGCGGCCATTGTTTGGGGGCGTGGCAGCTATCCGTAATCCCTACGAGCTCCTGGCCCATCGCCATGCTCCGCCATTCCCCGATGGACATGCAATTTGCATTGAAATTGTTTTTCGAAATTAGAAAAGCCAGTCAGGTGAAACTGAGTGGGAGGGTGTGGGTATGGAGTGCCGTAAAGCGATATAACCATCTTGGGGGAAAATCGAGAAAAGTGACAATTTCAATAAGGAGCAATTTTGAGTTTTGGTTAAGCTAGTAATAGCCTTGATGGCAGAAAGTCTCTTTTGCCTAAAGAATATTATTGGACTTCTTGAAACCAGCTTTTTGTTTTGGCATTTTATCCTTGGAATATTTACTATCTATTTTTTAGCTTATTCATCATTAATTTGTATCCTTTTTATCCAAAAAATCAAATATGTAAATTTGATTTCTTGGAATCTCGAGTTAAGACAAAACTCAATGATTTTAAATGCTTGTTTGCATCGCTTGCAAAGATTTTAATTACAAATATAGTTAATTGAGTTACAAAGAAGATATTCAACAATTTGCTATTATAAACTGAATTATGCTCGATAGACTTAAACTACGGTTCGTTAAGGGTTTTCCAGATGGGTCCAAGGTAGAGCGAATGGTCTGACGATCGGTTGAAACATCCTAGTGGGCACTTAGTTCTCCTGGATGATGACCACATCCTGGAGGAGGACATTGGACAGCTGCAGCAGCTCCTGCTCATTGCGGATGGGTCGGTCGAGGGGATAGCCCAGGGGGCGGATATCCCGCAGGGAAGCGGAACCGATGCCAATGCTGATGACGGGATCGATATCCTGGACCTGCTGCTCCACCAGGGGAGACACGACCACCAGGAGCTGCATGGGCAGACCCTCGGGCCTTCCGCGGGGCAACAGTAAGTGCTGGGGGAAGCGTCCGTTCTCGCCAACCAACTGCTGGATGCCCAGGACCTGTTGCTCTTGCTGGCCCTTCAGCTGCAGCATCACCCGGCGGTAAATCTCTGAAAGGGGCGTCACATCGCGTTTGGTCCAGGGGATGTCGGCGGACCTCAGCTGGATGCGGTTGTGTCCATTCTGCAGCTGCACACTGATGGCGTCCAGAAGGACAAAATCGGGACGGCGCTCGTCCAGGGAAGCACCCTGCCTGCCCTGCTGATCCTCGGCGGGTCCCAGGAAGACGCGAACTATGGCATCCTGATCCTGCTGCTCCGAGGTGATGTCCATGTCGATGGTGAAGGCCTTGTTGCCGAGGCGTCGCTGGCGTCCCACAATCTCCTGCTGGAACCGCTGATCCTGCTGCTCGACCAGGTTGCTGAGGTCCAAGTCGTACTCCTCGATGCGAGTGCGCAGCTTGTCCACGCGCACATCGTTGATCGAAACGCCGCGCATCTGCAGCTGCTCCTGGCGGTAGGCTCCAAGGATCTGCTCGCGTTGCTGGTCCACGATCCTCACGATCCGGCGAAGGGTGTACTGCACCACGGGATCACTGAGACGGATGCCCAGGCCGGTGCGATCGATCTGCTGGCCGTTGTTCTCCTGGACCACCTGGCGGATGATCTGGATGATGCCCACCTGGCCGAGGCGACCCAGCAGCACGTCGGCGATCAGGGACTCCACCTGGCGCTGATCCTCCATCTGTCTGACATTCACCTGGTTCAGCACCTGACCAATTACCTGCTGCAGACGCTGCTCAATCTGGCCAATCTGTCCGAGGACCTCACGGTTGCGCTGGGAATCGATGCGGATTTGGTTCAGGCGGAGGCGGTACCTTTCGGTTTGCGACAGCTGCTCCTGTTGGTCGATCACCAGGCCCTGGGAGATGCCCTCCTGGTTGAGGCGGGCCACCAGCTGGCGGAGATTCTGCAGGATGATCTCGCTGCGACGGTTGTTCAGCTGACGGATTGGCAGATTGTTCAGGCTGCGACGGCTTCGTAGTCCCTGTCGGCGCTCCACATCCTCATCATCATCATCGTCGTTGTCATCATCATCATCATCGTCGTTATGGTTCTTCTCCAGGCGCTGCTGGCGGTTCCTCTTGAGCATCTCAAGGATCTCGTCGTCGGTCATCAGCTTCAGGCGGTTCTCGCCGCGGATGAACTTCAGGATGTCCTCGTCCTCGATGGGGCGATCGCCCATGACACGGCGACCCTCGCCAATGGAGCTGATTCTGCGGGGAATTATTTTTTGCTGTTGCGGTTGCTGGATGTCCTGGCTGAGGCGACGTCGGTTGATGTGCACCAATCGCTCATCATCGCGATCCACGCTCTCCAGCTGATCGGCATAGCTCTGACCCTCCTGTTGGACACCGAAGCGACGTCCTTGTCTCTGGATTTGGTTCTGCTCCTCCTCGTCCTCATCTCGGTAGAAGTTCTGTCGCTGACGCTCCTGACGTCCCTCATCCAGCTGCCCCACTCGACGACCCTCGCTGAAGCGTTCGCCCCTCACCAGGCCCATGAAACGCTGGCGTCCCGTGAACTGATCCTGCTGCTCGTCCTGCTGGATGGCGTTCAACCGACGGCGGCCCACATGGAGCAGGCGGTCACTGTTCACACTCACGGTGGGCAGGTCACGAACTCCTCCCATTCGGAGGCCTCCTTGGCTGATTCCACGCTGCAGTTGCACGCGACCCATGCGAATGTCGTTGTTATCATCATCGTCATCATCATCATCACGACGGAGCAGTCGCTGGAATCGCTCCCTTTGGCTGCCATAGACGTACTGACCCTCATCCTGGTTCTGTTGCTCCTGGAGGCGACGACGGTTCACGTAGAGCAGACGTCCACTGCCCACATTCTGATCGATCTGCCTTTCCCGGCTGTTGTACTGACGGCCGATCCATTGGTCCCGATACTCCTGCTCGCTGTTGATCAACTGCTCACGTTCCCTCTCATTGCCTATCCATTGGCGTTGCTCCTGCTGCGAGTCCTCCTCCAGCAGGGCCAGTTCCTGGATGAGATTCTGGACCAAGTTGCGCAGCTCAATGTCGTCCGTCAGCAGGGAGGTGCCCTCCAACTGACCCTGGTTCTCGGCCCGGATGACCACGCGCTTCTGGCCGCCGACATTCAGGCGATTTTGCTGCTTCATCAGAGCCATCTGCATGTGAATCTCGCGCCAGGGCATCAGGATGTTCAGCATGGGATTCATGGCGCGCTGGCGTAGACCCACAATGTCCATGAGCGAGGGGCGCTGGGATTGCTCCCTGAGGACGCCGCGAACCTGGTCAATGACCTCCTCGTCCAGATAAAGTTCGGGGAGCAGCTCCTGGATAGCGGGCACAACCAAAGAGCGAGTGTCCTCGCGATCGCGAATGGCCAGGGCCAAGGCGTTGACCAACAGCACGGGATTGATGTTGCGGCGCAAGTAGACCACATTTCGGCGCAGTGTATCAAAGTCCACAGAGCGAACCAGCAGGCGGTAGATGCCGCGCAGTTGCTGCACATCCTCCAGACGACCCACCGAGTACACCTGGTGCTCATCGAGCAGGCGACGCTGGCGATCCAAATCGATGACGCGCTGCATCACCTCATCGATGCCGCCACGATACCTTTGGCTGTCCACAATCAGACCCTGGTCCAGTTGGATGAGCTCACCCTGCTGCAAGGGCTGTCGGATATTCTGCACGATGTCCAGGATGAACTTCTGGCGCTGCACATCCTCCAGGGACATGCGGTCTGGGTGGGAAAATAAAAATAGCTCTTAAATAAATCCTTACTTCTTAGGGGTCACCACTTTACCAATACCCTGAATCCTGTCCGGATTCACAGTTATCCTTCCAGCAGCCACAACAACGGCCGCAAAGGCCATTAACAGCAGGATTCTGTTCATCTTGATGATCACTAACTTCTGATCACTTCTGAGAAACTGGATTGAAGAACTCTGGAGGATTTAGCTTGCTAAAACACTGACCAGCAGGCAACTGCATTTTCCTGTCAGTTCGCTGCAGCTTTTATACCCCAGAGTTCCTATCATCCCAAAGTGCATCCCATAGGCCTATCGCTTGACTCCCGATTGGGTTGAATGCCTCCTTAAGAGGGGCGAAAATACGTTTATCAGTCGGCACAGACTGCTAAAAAACCGCTCACTCATTATGCAATTAAAAAGTTGTTGTCATGGATTGTTCCCGATTGTTCGGTGGGGCAATCGAGCACCTAACTCCGGTTGGTTGCTTGTTAATTTGTTAATCTTAATTGGTTCATTGATCTGCTAATCTTCAGGCAACTGCCTGAACTCCTGACTTTTGTTTGCTGTACGTGTTTGAAACAAACAAATCTGTAAACTGCAATTGCAATATGTACCCAAATTAGAAACTAAATATGATATATATTAAAGTCATGCATTTCATCATAAAAATTCCATTGTTGATAAGGACAAGGAAGACAACAGGCGAGCATGGAAGAATTCGACTTCGAGCTGATAAGAAATAGAATTTATGAATTTGTTTATGTGCAAAAATCAACATAATCCGAGTTCGGGTGACTTGTTTGACAAATTGCTACATTAATATTGCTAATTAATTTGACCGATGTTATTGCTAATTGTATGTTTAATGATATGTGCTTAGAAATGTTTAAGAATGTTGATGCTGATTTAATCTTAATATTTTAAAATTCTGATTCCCAGCTTTTATACTACAAATTCTAAAATAATATCTTGAAAATGCCATCGTAAATAGTCATTTCTAGTGCAGCTGAAAGGAGAAGCAATGCAGAGTGTGAGCCACGAAATGAAGGCCACGTAGCATTTGGCAGCTTCATTGTTCGCGTGAGTGAGTGATTGGCGATTGTGAAGGGATAAAGGATTGCAGTGGGTGGGCGAGCGATGCGGCGAGTCGATGCAATTTTTCTATTCACATTTAAATTGGCAATTCGTTTGTCCGTGGCTTTTGTGTTCACCGACCGATTTTTGCTGCCTTTTTTCGGTTGTCTGCGCTGCGACAATTTTGCAACGTGCCTGGCATGCAACGGAAGTAAAAAGCGCTACGTGGGTGGCCATAGCTTAGATCTTCCTAGGGATGTGCCATAGAATATAATCCCAAAAAGAGTGACGGTCTGATTCATCGGTATTCATAAAGGGGTTAAACCGTGTGTCTTCCAAGAAAATGTATAACAATCATGGAACTGTAAGCGTTTTTGGAAAGCCAACATAATAAATAAATATACATCTCAACCACTTACTGGACAGAAGTAATATTTTAATATTGAATAACATTTTAATATCCGATTCTAATTCAAATGGATCATCATGTCATATCAATTTCTAATCCTAATTACTGTGACCACTCAGTAACCTTTAATACAGTTCCAATAATGATATAGGGGATACTGATATGGGCCATCCCTAGCTTAGCTTGACTGTAAACATTGTAGCTGCTGTTCTGCTGCCCTTTTCTAATGTAATTGCAATTGTTTGGCAGCTCCGGCCGGGAATTCAGCCTTCAGCTTTCAGCTCTTAGTGCCTGAAAATGGGCAGTAAAAGCGACTTTGATTTGCCTCTGCTGCACTTTACACGCTTTTTTCCAACTTGCCATTTTTATGCATGCCAAGCGCATTTGTGATTAATTGCTCCTTTATGCCGCCCGCCCCTTGCTGCATGTTCAGCAATTATGCAGCTACAATTTCGCATTAATTGCTCCTTTGTGCCGCAGGGGTGTCCTTTTTGCACCCACTGTAGCCGGGCTGAAAAAACATTCCGTCATTGTGACCCGCTGCATTTACGGCGGAGTCGACTGCTGCTTCTCGGTTTAATTGCTCCCGGCCTCGGACATTGGCTGGAATGCGCTTTATGTTCATAGTAATGCCATCGCCAATTGTGCATGGCACTCGGGCTCCCTCGTTTTTATCCTCTGTAAAGATCCTTCCTCGAAACACGAATGTTTTACAGACTGACCTCGATTTCCGTTTGAAAAATACAAAATTATTTTTTAACCCACCAGTAAAGTTCCTTTCTCAATACAGTGTTTAATCTATTCTGGAATTGCAATTCTTCGTTCGTTACTCCCAGTTGAGCTGTTTCCAAGCGCTTCGACGATGTATTTTTAAAGATTTTTGGGCTATCAAAATATGACCAAGCACTTGACCCGAGACTTCTTATCGGGGCTCGCCATTCACCTTTGGAAAAACATCGCTTACTTGCAGTGCATACTAAATTTTGTGATTTCCTAAACTAAATATTAATCATTTGAAAACTTTTAGCTTATATCTTTTTAATAAATGGTCAGATTTTAATATTTTTGGATGGTAAATATTAAGATTAATACCACAATCTAAAAAAATTTCCATCACGCCACTCTTTTGCCTTCACTCTTATTCACAAGGGTACAAATAATAAAATAAAACATTAAGAAGTCCTTGAAAATTAAACTCGCAAATACTTTTCTGTCTCTGTTTAAACTCCATTTTCTAGCAAATAAAGTATTATTTTTAGCATCACGTTTAAAAAAACTATCAATAAATCAAAAAATTATATCACAGACATATTCTTCGTTCAATTAAGAGCTTCCCTAATTCCTTCTCGAATTTGGGCATCTGAAACCCTCTTCAAGAAACACCGAGTGATAAGCTGTTGAGAATAGATTTCGCATCCCGAACGCCAGTTGTCCTTGCTCTCCCGTTGAAGTCTGAGTTAAATCAAGACGAGGTGGTGGATGTTTCTGGCTTCTTTCTGGATTCTGGGTATCGGGTTTTTGGGATTCGGTTTCGCTTTTGGCTTTGTCGTCGCTCGCTTTGACTTAAATGCGATTTAATGCCTTTTTTGTTTGTCTTCCATGCGTCGGAAATCCGTTCGACGAGCTGTGGGCGTGATAAACCACATCCTCCCCTTGCCACCCACCACCGCCCACTTTCTAGGCAGCTAATTTGCTTGGCGTTGTTTTTTTTTATGTCTCAACTTTGCCTTGCCGACTTAATCTTATATCCTTTTCGCGTTTTCCTTTTTTCGGCTGGCTTGGCATTAAAAAAATTGTGCGTCCTTTGTTGGGCTGATAAAACTGCTTACAAATGCTTAAAAAATTAAAATTTATTACATGCGATTAAGTCGGTGGCGAAGGCCTCTCGACCTTCTGGAGGGGAATTGCCTAAAAAATGCAAATTGAATGCCATCGCTTTGGCGGTTCAACATATTTCCGGGCATAACTTTTTTTTTTGGACATTGGCCAATTGATTCATGGCCACACAATATCCTTTGCGTAATGGTCTTTCTGGGCCACCTTAAACAGTCAGCAGTCAGCAAAATGAAATGGAATGTGACTGTGAATGGTGGCCCGGAATGAAAGAAAAAGTACACCAAATAAATATAAATATAGTAATAATGAAGCATTGGGCCAAGAAGAAGAAGAAAAGCCAAAGTCTGCTGCCAAAAGAAAATATTTCTTTTTATCACAACGGATGTGAGTGTGCCAGGACTGAAATAGCAAAGGATGGAGGGAGGACAGGCGATGGAGGTGGAGGTGGAGTTGGAATGTGGAAGTGGTGATAGAGTCTGTGGACTGGGGTTACCTCCGCCAGCATCCTGTCAAATAAAACAAAAAATTCCCCGCCTTTAGTAGTGTGATTCTAGTACTTGGTTTGGTTGAATGGTGAAAGGAAGAGCAAAGCATTCGCTGTTTTTTGTTACACAGATAAAAAAATTATAGAATTCTGTGGAAGTATTAATAGAATCTTTATATAAAAATGAATCTGAAGTTCAACAAAAATTAATATTCTTCATTAGAAACGAGAAAAGAGAAAAGACTTCTTGAGAATTCATTTGTAAATTTAATGTAACCTTCTAGTTTTTGTTTAATTATGAAATCAGAGTTCAATGGAAGGAACATAATAAATATCAACCAATAAATTTGATTCTTTAAAGCTCAACTGTATATTTTTGTCTGTGTATTTTTGTCACCACAATTCTGGGTGTCTTTAAACCCCCTTTTTGTGCACTTCCTTCATACAAAGCAAGTCAAACAAACTTTTATTTCACACGTTTTTCGCTCTGCTATTTTTCTCCCTCACTGAATCGCATTCAATGTTTTTATTTGTCTTGAAACAAGTGAGTATAGCGAGATGATACTGATGATCGGGGGTCGGAGGTGAAGGGTCGCACGTGCTGCGCGTGTCTGTTAGTTTTGATAGCCAGTTGACTTTGCTACTGGATCCCCATCTCCCCCCAGCAATTGACCCGTTAAATTTTTTGATAATTGCAACATTAAATTCATGAGTTCTTGGAAAAAGTTTATGTTAAATAGGTTTTTTGTCTCAAAGGGAATTTTTCATTTCGAAAATGTCAATTATGGTAGCCACACCGTTAACTAAAAAAAATAAAATAATTATTTTAGAAGATATAAGTATTTTTTCCAAATACATAATTAATATAACTTAAAACTGATCTTTGTAATTAAACTTTCAATTTCGGAGAATAAAATCCATTATACTTTTAGGGGCCGTCTTTAAAACACTTAATTCAATTATTACTTCGTGATCTCCAAAGCATCTCGGCAATTTGTAAGTTCCCACAGTCGACCAACTTCATGGATTGCTCTCTTGGGGTTGACCTTTTTCCCCTCACAATTTCATTGGGCAAATATTGTTGTAGCATTTCGTAGAGTTTGGCACAAGTGATTTTTGGACAGAATGGAAGCGGGTGCCAGCTCCTTTGTCTGTGTTTAGGTGAGGTCAAAATGCAAACATTAAATGCTTATTCAAGTTCGAGTCTCTGACTGTTTCTGTGAATAGGGCCAGGACACTATAAAAACGACCTTGCGGGCAACAAAAGGCACAGACACGATGTCTGTGTGATTGTGAAAATGGGCAGACAATCAACACTGAACAAAATAACTTAAAAACTATTTAAAGTAATATATTTCACGTTTTAATAAAACAAACATTAGTGGAAAATATATAGTTCTAATATAAGAATTTAATTAAGCAAATTTGAAAACTATCAATGCTCCATTTTTTTTACAATCACAATTGCATTTATTTAAACTTAAGGTTGGCATATTTTTTACATAGCTCGATTCACTGAGTAAAACCTTCCTCTCATGATATAAAGAATTACTAATTCTCTTAATGAGACTTAATATTTCTAAAACTCAATTAAAAAATACTTCTAATATTAAATACTTCTTTTGAAACTTTGTTTATTTTTTTGAGTGAAAGTTCAAGAGGCGTGTGTATTGGTGTGTGGGGTATGGTGGCTGAGTTGGGTACAGCATCCTTGGTTTTTGGCACTTCTTATCAGCAGTTTCGTTGCGTTGCAGCGTGGCATTTGTGTGACTTTTATGGGCGGCTTTTCAGCTGGTTACGACGCTGTTGCGATTGCTCTGTACCGCCACCCAGTCTATAAGTCACCCAGCCAGCCACCCAACCACCCATTTGCCTCCCCCTAGTTCAATCGTAGTGGTGGTTGCTGCTTTGTTTCTGCCTCAGACAAAAAAGTGTCAATTGTTTTTGGGACGAGAATTATTGACACGCCTCAACGGTGAGCGGTTCACAGTTGGTCGCTTAAACAAGTGGGCGTGAAGGAATCCCATTAAGGACTATCGCCACCCTTCCGAAGCGGCAGACAATCCTGGCCATCATCGCATCATCCATTCATCCCCGCGGCGTGTCGGCAATTTAAACTAATAATCAACGCATCAGCAAACATTGTCGTTATATTCGGAAGCCTGTGGCGTTTGGCAGTGACTCTTGACAGATTGCGAGCTCTGATTTTCACTTACGTTTTCACCAGGTTCTCAGGTGGATGGGTTGAGGGGTCAGAGGTTGAGCAATCCTACAAATGTATCTATCCATCCACGTAGCACATATATTTTGATTGCTTGAATTTCCACTACAGCCTCCAGTGCGCTAGTTAAAAATGGTTTATTTTCTCACAGTTTTTAATTAATTTTCTGCTCTTTTTCATTTATCACATTAAAGTATAGTTTTACAATCATATATTACATAAAATTGGACATGTTCTTTATGCCTTAACAAATCTAATGTACTAAAGACCTAAAAAGCAGTTTTATTGGGTTCTGAAATTTGATAACAAAAATTGCGGAATCTTAAAAAATAAATTAATCAGTGAATTAAGCAATTTATTTTAAGTAAAGGCAGTACTGCAAAAGATTTACCGAAACGTAATCTGTAATTATTTTTTTTGAGGGATATACATTCTAAGCCCTGTAACTAGCGTTAACCAAATAACAACAATCAATAAAACTTGCGATGCTGTTAATGAATATGAAATTGGGAATAATAATTTAATTTTACGCAGGTAAAATCCACGAACTTGAGATTTAAAATAACGATGAGTTCTGAAGAAAAAGCTCCATAAAATCTAGATAAAATATTTTACGGAACATTATTCAATCCACATTCAAACATGGAATATAACCGAACGAACTAAAATCAGAACCCGGAACATAACTTTTGCAGCAACCAAAGACACGCACAAATATTCGACTAACACTAGGCTCTAACATTAGGACTTTTAACTTGCGGGGCGGGGTGACCAATTGGCCGGGATTCCGGGACGAGATCTTCGGATGTGATCGGTCAGGATGACCATCCAAAGCCTCTCTATCTGGCACCCGATCCCATCCTAGACCACATGCTCTGCGGATGAGGAGGTGCCGGCGCCGAAGCGCAGTGGAGTCGGTCAAATGATGTTGGGCGGACTGGCCGTAGTGGCGACCACCGCATTCGGAGAGGACTTCTCCGACTTGACGCATCCGTAGGACGAGATGCCGGTGCCGCTGCTGCTGGGCGGGGAGGGTGGTGTTTCCGGGCTGATCAGCGGCAGGTACCGCCACGGGTGGTAGATGGAGCCGGCGTACATCGCCTGGAGGCGGGCCTGGAGGTCCAGGGCGAGCGTGGGATCCAGTGGATAGTGGGCGAGGCCGGGAAAGGCGTTCGGCAGGCGGGGCAGGGACAACTCCAAAGGCGATCCAAATCCGTACTTGGCGCTCAGAGTGGCGGCGGCCAGCTGGACGTGATGCGGATGGGGATGCGGGTGGTGCGGATGCGGTGGATATGACGACTGGTGGGGATGTCCGTGGAGATGGGGCAGGTTCTGGCCCAAAGGCGACAACTGGGGCTGCATGTCCTTGGGCGAGCCGCCGGATCCTGGACCTCCAGGGCCTAGATTACCCACACCACCGCCATTGGCACCACCATTAGCACCACCGCCTGATCCACCACCACCACCTGGCACTGGTGACTTGTTGAGCGTCTTGGGCTTGCGACGTGGCCGATACTTGTAGTCGGGATGTTCTTTCATGTGCAGGGCCCTGTAAATTGAGCAAATGTTGAAACACTGATCAAAAGATCGAACGATTTAAACTTTGATGATATCATAAAGCCAGCCATCTCTGGTCGTAAACCCCAAGAGAAGCGGAACCCTTCCATAAACTCCACGCTCGGAGATACAAAATGCACAAGTTTATGTTGTGTATTTAGCAAAGAACCTCACACTTCGATTCCAACTTCGATTCCCTTTCCGATTTCCCAGCTGCAACAATGCGCAATTGTTGACATTTGTTTGACAAAACGATAAAACCTGATAAAAGGTGTGTGTTGGGTCTCCTCCTCTTGTTTTACTTTCGCTTTTCTTTATTTTATTTTTAATTTTGTTTTCCTTTCTTCGGTCAGTTATGTCTGCGTTATCGCGGGTCCCGAAAAAATATTGTTTTCCTTATCATCGCGCATTGGCAAATATTTGTACAGAATTTTTGGTTCTTTTCATTCGATATGCTCGCTCGAAAACCCCGAATGGCCATTAGTTTAAGCCCCTTCAGACGAGCCCTGCTCATTTATAAATGTCATAAAAAGTACATAAAATTTCACATTTTCATTTTGGCAGGCCTATCCAATCAATAAAAGGATTATGACAGTGCAAACACAGAGGTTCGTCATCGTCCAAGACCTCACTATCTAAAAAGGTGTAGAAAAAACAAGAAGGTTACCCATTTACTGGCATTTCTACGTATTCTTGTTATTAATAGGGGACCAAAATGAAAGAGCTTTAACTATATTGAAAAGCTTAATAGATTATTTTCACTTTACATTTTTAACAGTTTGTAAAGACTTGATGAAAGTTATTTTTCCACTTTGCTTATATATTAATCTTTAATAAAACGTAAATATTTTATTTTTAGTAAATGCTTTCTTTGATAAGATTAATAGTTAAATATATGCTATGGAATTTTAAGTTAATCCCTATGTATATCAGTTTTAAAACTAAAGCAAAATGAAGGTGCTAAAACTCCTTTGATAGGGTACACCATAAAGAGGTAAATAAAAAGTGGTAAAATGCAAAATGAATGAACCATTTCATGCGACGTGTCGTCTCGCTTTTGTGTGACAACTTCAATTGAAATGTTTACCCAAGATATGCCAGTGCCAATGAAATTCTGACTAAGCAGAGCGGACACAATCCCCGTCTCCAGAGCTCCACAATGCAGCAGGAGCTCCTCACAATAGGGAGCCTTTGTCTTAGCTAATCGATCAAATTTTGTGGCCAGACGGCACCGAGAGAGAATGAGCTGCCAACTGGGAAAACTGTAACCGAAACCAAGCTAGAATTTCCCATCAACCCTCCACCCTACATTCCTGACTAAGCCCACACAGAAAAAAATAACAAAATACATTTTTGTATAAAACGATGTCTACTTTTAAAACCTTTCCCGAAAGGATTTAACCAAATGTTTAAGCTTAGAATCTTGAAAAATAATTTTATAAGCATTTTAAAAACAATAGTTTTGTTAAGCAATCGTTTTAATCGGTGTTGGTAAATAATAATAATCTTTTTATTTAAAAAAAATTACAACTACTTAAAGAATGCGGAAAATAAAAAGGCCCCTTTAAAATTTAAAAAAAGGTAAGTCACTTGCTATAAAACCCAATTAAATTCAGAATTTCAATTATGATAAATACACCATTTAGTTTTGATTGGGATGTTTTAAATACCATTAATCAATGAGGAGTAAAAAATCGAATTGAAACTTCTAAGCAAAAAAATATTGATGTTCGACAAAGAGATGTTTTCTTTACATTCTTCAATTCCCTCTGTAATCCTCAACTGTCTACTTCAGAAATAATTAAAAAACCTTGCTTGTATGACTTTTCTCAGTGTACTTTAACCAGGGCCAGTGAACAGCACTTACCGCAATCGTTTTGCCTCGTCGATGAATGGACGCTTCTGTCCTTCGGTGAGTAATTTCCACTCGGCGCCCAGGCGCTTCGATATTTCGGAATTGTGCATTTTTGGATTGTCCTGGGCCATTTTGCGACGCTGCCCCCGCGACCAGACCATGAAAGCGTTCATTGGTCGCTTAATGTGGTCGTGGCTGTTGTGATGGGATCCAGAATTTTGATTCGAGTGGGCGTTCGGGTGGGAGTTGGTGGGATGATGGTGCGGGTGGTGGTGCATTTTGGGTGGCGCCACTGGGGTAGGGGCCGCTGTCGGAACGGCGAGGTCAGCTGGCGGCAAGGGTGGTGGTGTGGAGTTTCCCGATCCCGCTCCCAAACCACCGACCATTCCCAAACCCAAATTGATGCCGGGCAACTGCGGTGAGAGACTGCTGCTGTGGCTGTGATTGCTACTCCCGCTGCTCGTGTAACCATTGCTGTGGCTGTGACTCCGGTGGAGCAGCGCCGAGATGCTCGCCATGATTCCGGGGGGCACTTCAATGGTGGGGCTCCAATGGGGACCTCGATGGGGTGGCAGGTGGTAATTATCAGGTGGTACTGCTGCTCCTCGAGCTCTGAAATGCCAACGGAAATGGTATTCAATAGATATGCCTTGTTAGCTTGGGGCCCCTGTCTGCTGCCCCTGCATGAGTCATTTGATTCGACCTCTTCGTGTGGGGCAAATACTGCAAATAGTCCTCCAAAAACTCACAATGGAGTTTCTTTTACCCCTTTTAATGTGTGTTAAAGGGGTCTCAAGAAGGCGTCTGGGTTTTATGACGAATCAATACAAATATTTGGAAATTCTTTTCAAACTGGAATTTGGGACCAATTGCAAATTTCGGGGGTTTCCCCTAAAAGAACATCAGGCAAAATATGCTCCTTGTAACATTGGCATATTTATAGTTCTGATCTATAAGAATCTACAATTTTTTAACAAGATATCCTTTGACTGATGAGTTTACAGTTTTATGGAAACTTTTGTAACTTTCTCAAACCTAAGTTTATTTTCTATGTAAATTCTTATTTTTACTTCATGGAATTCTTAATCCAATAAGAAGGTCCTAATGCACAAGATCTAATCGACTAAATTTAAATTTAAACGAGACTGTATTAAGATAAATTCGAGGTTTCACAGAAAACTTCTTCAACCAAAATGGTTGGTTTAGTGCATTGATGTACGTAAGAACCAGAACGAATTTGGTTGGAAAACATTTCCGATTAAAATGTTTTGATTAGTTTGCTACTTCTTTAGTTTTATTTAGGTCTAATTTGTTGTAACTCAAACTAATTTATAAGGTTCTCAAAGCAATTTAACTATTTGATTAGTATTTTCAAATTATTTTCCTGATGGGATGATTTTGTACTTAAATTTATTTTATTAAGTAGTAGCAGATCGACTAGTTACCTGATTAGTATTTATTTTTCGTAGGATTTGATTAAAAATACAATTTTAATTTAACTACAGAACTTATAAACTTAACTCACCTTATAATTTGTAAATTCTTTATTCTTTTTATTCCGCGTTAAAGCCGCTTGAATTTGTATTCCATTAGATACTTTTCACTAAACTGATAATTTGAACAAGAGTTTATAATGCGATCGCTGTCTTTTTATGCACGCATGTTATTGGATCTTCACCGATGATCACTTATTGATTTCTTAAAAATACACAATGCTTAAATATTTTCCAAACAGTTCAAATCTTATCGAATTCCAATTTACGAACTTCCTTGAGTATCTTAACCGTCAAATTGCCGTTTTACCGTTAGTCGAGCGCAACGCGTCCGTTTCGAGTGCGCGACAATTTAGATTTGAAAACACATTCGAAAACTTGCGACAAAAACGGCAAACAAACGCAACAAAAAGGGGCAAGAAGAAGAGCAGTGGGTGTGTGTGTGTGAGGGTGTCGTGCCTCTGTAGTGGTTGGTCGCTGCTGCCGTCAAACAGGACCGAGTGGGAGCGAGATGGAGAGAGATAGAGATAGCGAGAACGAGGGGGGTTGCCCGAAAGAGCGAGAGAGAGAGCGCACTTTTTGTAGAGTTTTTTACACCTTCGCTTCGGAGGACGCGTCAACGTGGCGGCTAAGTGATAAAAATTCGCTGCTGCTGCTTTGTATCTTTGTATCTGCGTTTTGTATCTTGTTGACAATTGTCTCTGGTTTGTTTTCGGTTTGTGTGCGCGTTTGAGTTCTTGATTGCCGAACGCTGCTCCTTTTGCTCTTCGCCAGCTGATAATATCTGCATTTCTTCATTATAATCTCAATCGAAAAATACTTTTAATATTTTCGATAGCTAACAAGTAATAAGCTTAAAAAAATAACACTTAATTTTATAATTAATAAATAAAGTTATTGTTTAATTAAATTTTTAATTTCAATAGACATATACTGATGGTTTCTCTTACAAATTGATTGATAAGATAACAGACATATCCTTTAAAAAATTAATACGTTTGTAATCTTTGCTGTGCCATGCAATCCGAAAAGTTTAATAAGTTTATGTTCTTTTTTATTTCGATTGGGCTAATTCATTTTCCGGCCTTATAGCTTTCGTTAAATTTTTCACTGTGTACTAAACTTGTGTTTGCTCCCACAATCGATCGGTGGCTCATTTGGTTTGTTTGCCGCAAACTTCGGTGTTGGTTAGGTTGACCCTTTTTGTTGGCGGGATCGCTCCATTCAATTGCCCTCCTTGTTTGCCACACACAGGAAATTCCCCATTCTCGTTGTTGTTGTTGTACTAATATCGGTTTCTGTATAATTGCAACCATAAAAATCCCTTGATCCCTTAATAGAACAACCTCTATACATTTGCTAAAATATCATATAAATGACACTCTTTATATTTACGGGGTTCAACGTTCCGCCAAGGGAGCCGTTTCCTTGCCGAGTACTTAGAAATTAGTCGGATATTCTTGTGTTTACAGTGTAATGTCAACAGAAAAATATGTAATATGGCAGGGGTCACACAAGTAAGTGTTTCATTTATACGGCCGTCATCACCTTTTTTCGATCGAAATAAATTTGAATGGCGTTATGTAATTAGAGCAAGACTTATAAAAACATCAAAAAAGTCGTTAAAAAATACAATTTTAAGAACCCTTAAAGATATAATTTGAATATACTTTTGTGAATGCTCAATAATAACATTATTTTATAATAGTTTAGTTTAGACAGACAGACGGGCATACCCTTTTACTCTACGAGTAACTGTTATAAAAAAAATGTATTCTTACCTTAAGCTTGAGTCTTAAACGTTAACAATCGAATCACTTTTAAGACCTTCGCTTTGCATTCTTGTGGTATTTTTAAAAAACAACTGTTGGCGCCATAAAAAGATATCTCCCCAAGGGATTGTGTTGCGCAGGCGTCGCTCTCCAAATGGTCGTAACTTTTGTAGAGTTTCGATCCCCGCAACCCGCAACGTACCCCTCATTCCACCCCTTCTCTATGCCTTACTTCGTCAAAACAAATGCTAAGTGGGAAACGCATTTGGCGGGTTTTTCCCTTCTTCATCGCCCAACAATAAAAATGGCAGCGCTCTGGAAATGTGTGTGTGCTCCCCAAACCCCGGGCCCCAACCCTCAAACCCCTAAAATACACCCCCAACACCCATTGTCACCCCTCCTCGCACTCTTGTAACTGCGCGCATGTCGATTTCAGGCGCTTTGGACCAATGGCGTAGACAATGCTCGGGAAGTAAAGCTCTGGGAATGGGGGCCGCTGCTTAGAAGCGTTCTCAATGGTGACGCGTTTTTTATCGCTTTTTGTTTTGCATGCGAGTTGAATGCATTTTATTGGCCAAAAGCCAGAACAGAAGGGCCGAAAACAAAGGCGCCAGCAACTGGTGGTCCTTGGAACTGGAGAACATGCCTGAGGAATCGTCTTATCTTCCGCTGGCAGAGCAGCAGGATATTCGGCTCGGGGACCCCAACAATCCTTCATTTGTTCCCTCTTAATGGACATTATGGCTGGCCCTATTATGCGGTCATCTTATAGCACAATGAAGAACAGAAAGTGGCGGCATAGCTGAGTGGGTGTGCCTGCCTCCCTCTCATGGATCAACCGGTGAAATGTGGCTCAAGTAGCTAATGATATAGTACGGTTATATTCAGATAATTATTCACACAGATAAAAAATGTATATTCCTAAAAATGGGTCACCTCATATTGGGGTGCCATAAAAATTGATTAGCGCTCTAAGTACAGAAAAAATTCACCCTTCAGCATTTCTGTGGCACCTCCAATATAAAGTTTTTTTCGGGATTTCGAAAGTTATAAAAATCTAGAAATAGCTATAAGGCTAAGTCCTCAACACTGTTTCACCGACACACCCCCATTTTGCTTTCGCCTCTGCAGTCATAATTTTAGGTGTTTTTTGAAAGGACCCACCACAGGCCATCGCAGCATTGTTTGACTGCGTTTAGTTGCAATAATTTATGGCGGGGATTTTAACAGCATACCGTCGCACAAATTTTTTTGCAAACTCTGGCAGACTCCCCCTCTCTCTATCTCGTTTGTTCCCGCTTTCTTTTCGGTTTGGGTCGACCAAAAGTGGGAAATGTGCCCGTGCTAATCGTGATTTGTGTTTTAAATGAGGCCAAATGCAAAGCAGTCGAATGAGGAGGCTGATAAGGAAAAGGGGGTGGGGCTGAAAAGGGTGGAAAACAGGTAGTCACAAAAATAGTTGTAAGCTTCAAGCTTTTTCGACCACCATTTTACGATAAAAAAGTAGAAAATAAAACATCGAATCCAGAAATAGTTACTCCATAAGACTACAAAAATACTTTAAAATTAAAATCCAACCGAATTTTTAGGAAGTACTGCGTTATTAAGGTAGATCCAAATGGTTAAGCTGTGACTAAAATAAAATAAGAAATCAGTTAAATTAGAAGAAACGCTATAGTCGGGTGCCCCGACTATCAGATACCCGTTACTCAGCTAAAGGGAGTGCGAATGAGATGGAGATAAAAACTTTGATCCGCCGTAACTTTTTAACGAATGGTCCGACTTTAAAAATTTCTTCTACATTTCGATATGTATTCATAAACACAATAAAACTGAATTTTTACTTTTCCGAAATATTGAAATTTTTAAAATCGTATATTAGCGATTGTGGGCGTTAGAGGGGGCGTGGCACCCTTTTGAAACAAACTCCCAGAATCTTCATGCAAAATGTCAATCTTCTTTTATAGTTGTCGTTTATAGTTTATAGTTTCCGAGATCTCAGCGTTCATACGGACAGACAGACGGACAGACAGACAGACGGACAGACGGACAGACGGACAGACGGACAGACGGACATGGCTAGATCGACTCGTCTTGTGATGCTGATCAAGAATATATATACTTTATGGGGTCGGAAACGTCTCCTTCACTGCGTTGCAAACTTCTGACTGAAATCATAATACCCTCTGCAAGGGTATAATGACGGGAAAAAAGCTGATTTGACAACCCTGTAACGAATTTTCACTGTATTTGAATGGTTGTTGACAAAGTGTGCGACACCCTGCGGCGATACGTAGAACACATATTCTACACAGTAAGACGACATCTATTGCCAGAATTGAGCAGTACATTCTAGATGGCGCCAACGATAAATGGAACAGTGTCGAAAGTAATCCGCTATGTGGCGCCATTGTAAATTTACAATATAAGAATCATGTAGATTTCAAAATCCAGTTCAGTCCGAGTCCGAGCCGCCGTCTTCCGGCTTCCTGGGGATCTTGTTGGCTACCGCCCCATCCTCATCGTCGCTCTCCTCCAGAAGGAGAAGGAGCTTGGCTGGAACAACTCCCTGGCGACACCCAGGTTTCCGAAGGAGGCTCCGGAGCTGCCGCTGGCTGAGGATCGCATCTTCCGCATGCGTTCCCTTTTAGGCGGGAGCGAGGGTGGAGTCTGGCATTGCCTGATCAGCGAGGCGACGTCCTGGGCACTGTTGGTGATGGAGTGGCACTCGAAGGTCACTTCGAAGGACGAGGAGGACGTCTTTTTGAAGGAGAACTTCTCCATTGCGAAATCCGAAAAGCTGTTGTTTGGTGCCGATTTTCGATAGTGTCGATAGGCGAATCAAGTCATCCCTGAACTTGCGATAGATCGATAGGCCGATTTCGATTGGTTTAACGGTTTTTTTGATTTTACCACGTGTTTACGCATTGCGAAATGGATTTCGACGCCATGGAATCGGAAGTCCAAGCTGGATCCCAAGTTGAAGCCGAAGCGGGAGCCCTAGCTGGAGCCCAAGCTGAAGCCGAAGCGGAAGCGGATGCCCAAGCCCAAGTGGAAGTCCAAGCTGGAGCCCAAGAGCAAGCCCAAGCGGGAGATCTGGCAAGGTTTGGGCACAGTTTGTGAATCGTCACTGTCTTTGGATCAAAAATGCATTGTAGAAGAAAATACACAACATATTTTATTTCTTTTAAGGACAAAATTTCTTAAAGTAAAATGTTCGTAACGGGAAACAATAAATCCAATGAGTGCATAGATAACCGGATGGAGGAGCCTCAAGAAGTCAAGTTGGCGGACTTGCCAGTTGAGATCTGGGAGATGGTCCTTTCCCATTTGGACTTAAAACATCATAAATTATTACGAGAAGTATCAGGGGAGCTGCAAGACATCAGCAATTCTTATGTATTTCACCGCTAAAAGTGCTTTGAGATAGCCCATCAGAAAAGTCCGAATGAGAATATCCGCGAGTACAAAGTTAGGATCGTGCTGCAGGTGGGTTTGTGCTTGGCTTAATAGCTGTTTTCCTTAACAATTTATTATCCAATAAAACTATTTCTTAGATAATGCGGAACGTGGTTTGCTACTTTACCGATAAGGGTTACGAGTCGCATTTGGTCCTCACCTTGTTGACCCTCCAAGGTGATGAATACAAGGTTAGAGCTCAGCTAAAAAAATTTGTTGTTAAATTTATGTTTCGTTTGGAGCGGCCATTGAATGTATTTAGTGCTGAGGGCAGGAGAAAACTTCAACTTCGGTCCGCAAGGGTATTTAACTTCTACTTGAAATTAATTAAATGACGACTTGAAAAAATTCGTAGCCATGACCTAAGTATCGTCCAAATGAGGCCTAGCTAAAACGACAGCTCTGGCTTTAACCTACCCCCACAAGTAGAGACTCCCACAATTACCGCTAATTGCCGGCGCCCAAGAGAGCGTAAAATTAATTAAATTTACTTGGATTTTTGCACCTCAACTTGCGCGCGCCCATTAATTAGTGGCCAACGGTAATTTCGCCAGGGTTCAAACTTGAGCGTTAAGTTGCCGCGGCTGCTTGAGCAATTCAGTTTGCCCGGCTGCATTTTGTCAACCTGATTGGCCAGAAGTTGTCGTCATTAGGAAGCGTTTAGCGTTCTTGACTTTTGCCAGCCGCCCATTTCCACAAACAATTAATTAATCAAATATTAATCCATTTTAGGGCAAACGTTTTACTATTACGCCATACATTATCATCCCCAAAACTGCGTAGGATGTAATTAACTGATTACCATTTAAATCTTTCATTTGAAATTGTAAAAACATGTAATTTCTATGTTATATCCTTTCCAAAAAATCAATCACAATATTTGCTGCTGATGACAATGCGTCTTTTATTTTTCGTTTTTATCTTTTCTGGTTTCTGATGTATGTATATATTTTGTGTGTATTTTGCTTTGTTTGTGTGTGTTTAGTGTAGAATTTAAATACATTTAAATTTAATTTTAAATTTATGCTATGCACTTCTATCTGCGTTTAAAACATAAAAAAATTGCACCGCTCGTTGTTGTTTCAATTTGTTGAAATTTCTTGTCGTTTTTGCTAAGTGATTTTGCCTCTCTGAATACCTTTCCTTTTCTATCCATCGGTCGCCCATCCATTTTCTTGCTCGCTCTATTTTAACAAAGCTTAAGTTTAGTTTACAACTGGAGACTTAAATGTAAATGTTGGCTACGTTTAACTTTAATCTCGCATTTTCGGTTGTATTCGTTTTACCCTTTTCGTTATATCCTTTTTGGGGTCGATTCACCTCGCTTCTCGTTGGCAACTCCAATTCCGAATTGTTTAAATTTAAATTGTTTTCGAAACTGTATAGTACTTATAAGGTTCAAGTATTATCTCAATAACTACACAGTGCAACATGAAAAATGGAACCGCAATTCTGATTTCATGGGCGGAAAGAACTCATCGAAATAAGCTAAAACCCATTTTGGTTTCTCTGGCTTAGCTCGGGTTTACCTTTTATAGCGAGTTAAAGTTTTACATACAAAATTTATTTGTAACGGCCATATCTTGTGAACCGATTAAAATTTCACTATCAAGTCTTCAGTGATTATGTAGCTATGAACCCAAGGAACTAAATTGACAAATGACTCTTGCGCACTTAGCACCTAGTGCAACTAGCGCGTTAAAAAACCAATTTGCCTAATTTTTCGATTTTTAACGCGCTAGGTGTACGTCTTCGCAAGAGCCATTTGTCAATTTAGTTCCTTGGGTTCATAGCTACATAATCACTGAAGACTTGATAGTGAAATTTTAATCGGTTCACAAGATATGGCCGTTACAAATAAATTTTGTATGTAAAACTTTAACTCACTATAATAGGTAAACGCGAGCTAAGCCAGAGAAACCCAAATGGGTTTTAGCTTATTTCGATGAGTTCTTTCCGCTCATGAAATCAGAATTGCGGTTACATTTTATAACCCTAAAAATGTTGCACAGTGCTATAGATTGGAATAAGGTTAAAATCTTGCCGAAAAATCCAATCAGAGTTGAAAACGAAACGATTGTGATCCCCTCTCCTGCTCCTAGGTCATAGACAAGTTCAACTCTTCGCTGCCATTGGAAGATGGTGGTCAGAAGATCACCGTCAGTGGTCGCCGAAAGTCCGCGGCGGTGGCACCACCACCCCCACCGCCCGCCGATCCACCGCCAGCGCCAGCAGGCCCACCACCCACTGCTCCGCCCGCTGCCGTTGCCAATTGGCCTCCATATTGGCCGGCATATTGGGCATAATCCAGACCCACATCGCTGGGCGAATGCAGATGGGGCTTAGCCTCCACCGCCTCCAGTTGGGGCGTGGCATCGCGATCGTCCAGTCCGCTGCTGCTGTTGTTGTTGTGCGAGCTGGCACTACCGCCCCCGCCACTGCCCCCTCCCCCGCCGCCACTGAGAAGCAGCTGTTGTTGCTGTTGCTGTTGTTGCTGCTGCTGTTGCTGTTGCTGCTGCTGATGGTGGGCCGCCGCATGCTGCTGGGCGCCATAAATCTTGGATATGTCAAAGGCATAGTTGGCCGCCCGATCCTGGTACATCTTGGAGTCGAAATACGCCTTGGTCAGCACACTGGGATCCAAGTAGGCGCTGTAGGCACTCGCCTGCGATGAGTTGCTCAGATACGAACTGCGCTCCAAGGCGAACTTGTCCATCTGCCCGGAGAGGGTGGCCTGCCAAGAGGGGTGAAAAATGTGGATATTTAGTAAGGTGATCGAGAATATAAGAATTACATAAAGAAAGTAATTTAAGTGAAATTAGTTATTATTTTTGCACAAGAATTAATCTGTCAACGCAAAACTATGACTCGATTTTTAAGACAACTTAAAAACCACGGAGAATCCATTTTTTTTGGGAATACTTTTTAAATATTTTAAAAATTCCAAATAAATCCCAATAAAAAAAGTTTACTTTGAATATTTTCAAATCAATCGAAAACGAGAAACACCCCTCACCTCTTTATCAATATTTATTTCACCAATTAAACATATATTTTCTAGGGCTTCCCACTAAGCTCTTTTAATCATCTTTATCAAAGGGAATCAAAACAACATCATTGATACCCTTTTACCAATTGAAAAAGTTTTAAATCTGAAAAATCAATCGAAGATTATTGGTAAATGATGTCGGCATAACGTCATAGAAACCATAACCATAGTCCCTGAGTCCCTCAAGTGCTCCCACTTAATTCGAACAGACTCAACCGCAGAAACCTGGAGTGCTTAACCTTCTGATTAGTACAAATTGCTTAACACTTTTGCGGCTTTATTTGACCAACTAATTGTGGCTAAGGCTGTGGAAAACCACCCCTGCCGCCCCTCCCCCGTCGTAATGCAAACCGAAACGGTCTCAATTTAATTTTATTTGATTTGCAATACGTTTTTCATTGCTACACCAGTTGCCAGTTCTTCTTGTTGATGGCAGATTGTTGGGATGGGAATGGAAACGGGAATGGAAATGTGAATGTTAACGGGTACTAAGCACATCAGAGGGTTGTTTTGCTTCATTTCCGTTTTGTTTTGAGTGGTTGCTTTTGGCCGAGGGGTTGCACACTGCGCTCCCCTTTTTCAGAACCAAACACTTGGCTCTGGGCTATAATTATGTTGTTAACACATCATCATCACCATCCTCCTCGTCATCCTGGCCTCCCCAATCCTCGGGTTCGGCTTGTCTCTGGTGCCGAGAGCGTTTTGGATTACAATTTGATTTGATTTGCACCCAATTGGGAATTAGTGTGGATTCGTAAATATTGTGATCCATCGCCTTAACGAGTGGATATTTTGTTTGTCTTGCTCGGTTCGGTTCCGGTTACTTATCCGTGTGGCAGTTAATTGATTTAAAACCCCTTGTTGGCCGAGTGGGTTACGCAACGTGGTTCCATAGAGCAGGTGGTCGAGGATGACAGTTCAGTGTTTAGTCAAGGATTGTACAACAGCTGAGCCAACAATTTGTTTTAAAAAGTCCTAAGGATGTGCTCAATTAATCAACAAATATCCCTCAGGGTTAAGCTTCAAGCCATAAAAAACAAAAATGTCTGGTGTGATTTAAGCTTTAAATATTAAGATAAAAATCATTATTATTGGTGCTGAGAGTTTTCTGAATATTATTTAACTTTTAAACAGTTTTCTGTTTTATACTTTTATTGATTTTTTTATTTATTGGGTTCACCATTCTGAGAAATATGAATTATTAGATTAATATATTGAAATAAATAATCTTTTTTTCGTACTGCCTATTTTAATGCTTATAAGATTCATAAAGGTTCAACAATCTAAGAAGTATCTTACGAATATGATCAGGAATGCTGTCAGCAATTTGCCGTGTCAGAGTTATGAATCCCGCCCACTATGCAATTTTCTTTTAGACCTCCTTCTCAAAGCTCCTTCATTCCATCACTCAATCGAGATTTGTTTGGCTTAAACTTAGTCTATTATTATGGCGGAGGAGCGAGGTGTGTTATTATCGGGCAAATGGTAATGCCGGGCCTTCAACACCCGCATCGCATCTGCAACGCCACATCAATCACGGAGTGAAATAGGCATCGCCCGGAGAATTACATGCCCCTGAACAGAAACAGAATGGACAATGGTCGCGAACCGAGAGTCATTGCTTTTAATGGGCTTTGTTAATCAATTGAAGTTGGGCATGGGTAGCTGACCACCTGATGGAGGAACAAAGGTCCGAACTTTGGCTATTTCTTGCACGTTCTCGGGATTCCTTGCAGCTTTCCTCTGGGCAGCTGGTTGTCCACTTTTGAGGACATTTCGTTTCCCGATCAGTCGTCCCACCTGTCCGGTTTTGTTTGTTTTTGTGTGTGTCCGCCTGCCCTTGTTTATCAACTCGATCTGGTCTAAAATGAGGAACCCCTGACACCGCTAAACATGTAATGACAACTTGCCGGCCAAATCCTTTGGCATGACATGTCAGAATACTCAATTGGGCCAGGATCTACCGCTTTTTCGCCTGCTTAGTCACGGATACACGGAAAAAAATTGATAATATAATTCAAAAATAGTTGTTATTAAATAATTTAAAAGAGTTTTATTGAAAGCAAGTAATAAATTACTAGAAAATTGAAGGGGCTTTGTTAAAAACAAATGGTTCTCACTTTTTTCTATCGACTTCTGAGTGGAATGTTCAAATACTATCTCTTTTTTCTCTGTGCAACGGACCGCATGTTTTCCGCCTTTTAAAGTAGGCGTCTTCCGTAGGAGTTTGTAATTATGTTATTAAGGCAACCCCGCAGTAACCTCCGCCCATGTGCACACACTATATATATGTCTGTAATTGGTCTCCGCTACCGTTCAACCTTTTTGATGGACGTCGTGGCACTTGAGCCTAGCGAAAGGTGGCAAGGGCAGGGAGGAAAGGGTATTGGGCAGCGAAACTCACCTGCGTTGTGGTCGGCGTCGATGTCTGGCCGAGATGGCTGCCCAGGTGATAGGCAGCCGCTGTGGGACCGGGCGCAAAGTAACCTGGCGTAATGCCTGCAAGTGAAGCGAACAACAACGGGAGATGAATTCGGTTTTAAGTTCCCAGTTTTCTGGGGGTTTTAGGTTAAGATGGGGTTATGGAAAACAGTTTACATCAATTATGACCGCGCTGCAGGGACAGTGTCCCATGAAGTTAATAATAATAATTCGTAATACCTTATAGGAACTTGTTTTCAATTCTTTTTCAATTTTTCATTTTAACAATCCAGTTTCAGATTATAAAATTAAAAAATTTCTATTAAAGAAATTATCCTTGTTAAATAAAAGATCTAAAAGTTCTTAGCCGATTTCACAAATATGGTTTAAAATAAATAAAATAATATATTTAATTAAATAACTAATTGTTTTACTTATTTTCATAATATTTCTATTTAAAATATAAAAACAAATCGTACTAAATTATAGCTTCTAAAATCATTTGAAACCACTGTGCATCTTTGGACTTGAAATGCAGCTTCGTTTCGGATCAGTTTGAGGTTGCCTCGGTGTGTGTTTAAAATAATTGCCACTCGAAATATTTGCGTTCTTTGTTCGGCCAACTCTTTCATTTCGTTTAAATAATAATTTTCCATTCGGGGTCGCCATCGCCATTTAATTGGGCGCTGAATCAGCTATTTTACTTGGAAATGAGTGTGTCAGATCCGAAGAGAGAGTATCTGGTAGACGAGATGCCTGGAAGTCATTATCAATTGCCCTAAACGGTAGTCGTCCATCTGCTCTCCTGGCCTTTTGTGGCCAAGTTGATAATTACAGGCGCCGCTTATTGAAAGACTTCGGCGTTTATTTCATTGATGGCGCTATGGATTTGATTGAGAGTCCAACCGAATTGGGATCTTCCACCGAGCAATTAAATTCGCTTAGACAACAAAGTTTCCATCAAACCACAAGAAATACAATGTATTTATCTGAAAGGTTTCTTTCTTTTCAACTCGTTGGCGATTTCAAGTAGCGACGGTTTCGTATGCCATCATCATTGTCATTATTATAATAGCGGATTAGGTAGTTGATCCATTGTTGTGGATCTTTTTGTAATGACCGGTTGCAGTAAACAAACGGAAGCTCGGTTATGCTTGGAAATGTCTTAAGTGGAATATTTATTTTAAAGAAGCCTTAGCTTTCTTAGGAGATTTTATTTCAGTCAATTCTCAAAAAAATATTAAAATTATATCTACAAATAAATTTATTTTTTTGAACATTTCAAGCCTTTTTCTTCTTAGCTTTCATTAGCATTTATTAAATGTCACCATTAAATCTACAATATATACTTATGTTTAGCTAATTCCACAGCTGACTGCACTTTCTGCTTTCCAAATCCCGTCCTTTTCATAAAGTGCAGCGATGGGGAAGCCACGAGCCAACTAAATAGACTAATTCGGTTTATTTATTACGCATTTCCTAGCATTTTTATTATCATTTCCGGTGGGCATAAATCATCCAGCCGCGTAAAGGGAAAGGAAAGGGAGACTAACTTAAACCGAGAAAACTTGCGTTAAATTGAGGGCCCAGGCTCACGACCGGGATAACAGCCGCTCGGGGTGAAAGACAAAAAAACGTGACAAATGCTAATTTAAAACCTCCAGCCAGCGGCAAAAACTACATACAACCCACCCACCCACTTCCACTCCCCGTTTCATGACCATAGAAAATCATGAATGGAAACTTATGCTCCTGCTTATGGCTCATGTCTCATGGCTCTTCCCTGTCTGTCTGGCTGGCTTTCCTTTCCTTTCCCCGATCCTCTCCTGTCACTCGAATGAGTTGCTAAGCCAGGATGATGACTTCACAGTTTGTCAGCCAGATGGGTGGTGCCATATTGCGGTTATAAAAGATTGTAGGATGATTGGGGGGATAGTTTTGGTAAAAGTCAGCCTCATACCCCCAAAGCCTCCTTATTTCGTGTCAAATTTGCATTTGTCTTGAGTTGCTGCCGCTTGTTTCCATAAAACTCAATTATTATTTTGTTTAGTGCTTTGCTTTAGGGATTTCAGGGGTTTTAATGTGGAACTTAACTTTTGGCATAAATTTCGGGTTTCTTCAACTATAAAATGGGGTTTCTTAAATCAACTCTTGAGTTTGATTATATTTATTATATGACCTACTCGATTATATTACAAGTTTTTCAAATAAAATGTTATCGTTAGTTTTCATTTAAACCTTTATACAAGTTTAAGACTTAAAACAATAATTAGCAAGGAAAGAAATAACTTTGAACGATAAATATATTTTTTTTAATTAAAATTTTTACTAAAATATAAGATAGCTAACATACTATTTTTTATTTTTCCAAATTTATACATATGTATTATAAGTTGTCATTATAGTCATTATAAAAATTATTTAATATTACAAATAAATGATTACAACTTACCCGCTCGTAACGCCTCTACGGGCACCGATGGATATGGCATTGGATAGGGATAGCCATCGCGTCTCAGGGCCTTTGGCTTTCGTCGCGGTCGGTACTTGTAGTCCGGGTGCTCCTTCATGTGCATGGCCCTGGGGAAGAATAGTCCCTAAATTATTAGTTCTAGGAGAAAATCCAGGCCGAACTTACCTTAAACGTTTGGCCTCATCGATGAACGGACGTTTCTCCTCCTCGGTAAGCAACTTCCACTCGGCACCTGGAAATCGAAACAGTTCTCGTTAATCCATTAGATACATTTGCTCTCGAAGTTCTTGTCGAAACTCTGGCCACAACAATTGGAGTGCACTCACGAGAAGATGTCGCACATAAGCATAATGTCGGGTCGGGGTCGCCACCCGATCCCCCAAAAACTTGTCTTGTCTGTGCAAGAAGGATAACAGCAAACAATGTCGTTGTCAGTGGTTGTCTCTTGTCCCACTCTTCACTCACTAGCCGTCTCCCTCTGCCCCGCCATTGTTCGGGGTTCCCCTTTTCGATCCAGACGAGTTCTGTGCTAACCCCAGCAGGTGGTTTTGGGTTTATAATTCGGGTAGGGGTCGCAGGAGGAACGCAGAAACGTAGGAACGTTCTTGAGGGCGTTGGCCAGGATGTGTACAAGGCACTCCCACACAGAGATACACGTGCCACACAGATACGGACAGGCAAGGACACATACTATAAGGACACATCCTATAAGTGGCACATGGGGTTGCTTTCGGGGAACCATTCTGGCTCTGGTTCGTCCATTGTGCGCTTGGAAATTGCAAATGTTTTTAAGTTAACGTAAAACGTTATAATGACATGTGTCATATGACGTCTGAAGAGGGGACGTGTGGTGTCAAGGAGAGAATTTGACGATGGGCTCTGCGGTAGTGGAGTTGTGACAACAACAAGGACCTTTCAACCAGTTGTGGAGTTTGTTTAAAGGTGAAAAGGGATTTGCTTGGCTGAGCAGCTTAACCATTTCGGTAGAATGCTTAGGAAATTATGTCGCCTTCTTGATTAAGCTTTGTAATTATTATTAATAGGAAATTTGCAATCAGTTGTATTTTATTATATAAAATTTGAATGTTGATAAAGTCAAATAAAGACAATATCGCATTAACGACTATAAGATAAGTTTAGTTTCAAAGACGTAGAAACATTTTTGGTGACAGCTTTTAGTATTATTTGGAAGATAAAGCCTCAAGCAAACAATTGTAATTTCCTAATCACCAAAGAAAACGCAAGAAAATGTTGACATATTGTAAGTAAATTGGTTGGCTCGGCAGTGTGGGGGCAAGTCGCTAATTAGTTATAACGTGTAATTTTAGTGGCTTGTCATGCGGACACAAAGCCGGAATAATGTCACATACACACTGGGCCACAAAGCCACTCGCACACACCGGAGGCATTGTTATGACAGACAACGATGACAGGGCCAACTGGAAGTCTCTTCTCGGCCGAAGGAGGAAACGTTTCGAGTGTCAGAGCCAGACTTGGACTGAGGCCCACACAGGCAACGAAAACTATAACAATAAGGCCAATACAAAAGCTCAAAAGGCTCCTGTCCCCTTTCCCAATCGCAATTCCACCTCCACTTCCACCCACTCATAATGGTAAAATACTAATTTATAGATACATTGACAGAGCCAAGGGCCCAGGTCCAACTGGCCATCAAATGAGCAACTCTCCTTCTGGGGACGACACCTTCGAGAGAATGGATATGGATGTACATAAATGGGGATGTGGGGGGAGAGGTGGTGGAAAGGCGCCCTGGACATAATAATAAACAAGACCGGCAGCAGCCGGTGGGAAAGGGGGCATACTTGTAGATACAAGTTGAGCAGTTGAATAAACTAGACCCACAAAAGGATGACAATGACAATGTCTATGTTTGCCCAATGTCTATGATGTTGGCGCCCCTTGGCCAAACAGAGCTCTCCGAGGCAGTCCGAGAATTTCCTCCTCTCCGGCTGGTTGACCGGCTTAATAATTGATACGAAAAACAAGCCAGCACTTGGCAGTTGCGAGATATTTCCGAGACTCTTTCTGTTACAATTAACAAGTTTTTCCGGCCTGGAAACGTTGCACGTTCACGTTCGCCTAACCCACAGAGCAAATATTTGACCACCGTCAGCAGTTGCAGTTTCCAGTTCTGGTTGGGATTTCTTTCTTTTTTGGGGGTCTGCAGTTACACTTTCCACAGTCACTCGGACAATCGGGCTACTTATGGGATTACTTCGCCTCTGTTCTGTTCTGTACTGCCCACTCATAAAGCGGCCACAGATTAACTTGTTTGCCCAGCAATTTAATGGCTTTAGGTGGAGCGTTGGGAGTTTTCTCCATTTTTGACTTGCCCTCCACTTGGCCAGTCGAAATCTGGCTTATTTGCTCGCCCTTTGTTGGGGCAATCGTGAGAAGAAGTCTTAGTTTCTGGTTAAATTAGTGGCTTTGGAGTTTGGATAGGGAGCTCCGAAACAACTTCCCACGCAGGATTTTATGAGGCAAACTTTCTTATGTTTCTAAATTTATCTGCAGATCGATTTCTTATTTAAAAAAAAAAACATATCAAATTTAATCCAAATATTATTCCTGATAATATATTTTTTAATAACATTTTTTAAATAAATCTTTCATTGTGCAGGCATCAATTAATAGTTTGTTGTTTAATATTCGAGATTCCGGCATACACATCGACAGAGATATTAACTCGATCTCAATCAAGAATAAATTTATGAAAAGTTCGTAAACAGTTTTTTCTACGTATTCGAGCGAAAGGCCATGCAAAGAATACTCTTTTGCTTGTTCCGTTTATAATATGCCATATTTTGTAGCATACTTAATAGGTGTGTTTTTGTAGTCTGTTTACAATTACTTTTATATCATTGATCAGAGTAATCAAATCGGTGGATGGGCTAAATCAAATATGCCATATAAAAAAAAACAAGTATATATTTTTACCCCTGTAATACCCTGATATACTCCTCACTTAACGAGTATCGGGTATAGAAGCTTTGTTTAATATTTTTTAAAATACCCCAGCATTTTTTGGTTCCGCCCATTAAGCACTCAGTTGCAAAGCCCACCTGTCAGTTGCAAGGCAGCGTCGTAACCTTCACGCCCACTCATCAGCCTCCCGCCCACGCCAAACTCCTTTCGAGAGCTTTTTCCAATTGCAAACTAATCAATTGTTTGCATTTTATTGAGCAACAAAAGGTGGCCTAGGGGGTGGGAAAAGGCTTGAGTTCGACCTTTTGTGATTGTTTTTTTTTCCTGCCTCTGCTCCTTGGGCCCATTGTTCCGCCGGGTCTAACGGCTCATTCATCCATCTCTGCTCAGCTTTGTCTGGCATTATTAAATATTCCCGCTGGAGCAGTAGCAGCAGCAGCTTTGATTAAAAATAAAGAACATTGTCGATTCGACAGGTTTTTCAATTATTTGCGAAAATACAAAACACGGCAGAAAGGAGACTTTCCGACGAAAAGCATAAGCATTGTTCTTGTTGTTGTCGCCTTTTGTTTGTGCCGCTGCTGCCGTTGGTAATTCAAATTTCCAGACAGTAATTAATGACAGTTACAATTTCAATTAAGCCCGCGCGCTCGGCACAGAATTGTTTTCTATAACATTCACTTTTATTTTGTTTCATTTTATTTTATTTTACCCACTCATATATACACACAATTTTTTCCAGCCTTTTGTGGGCTTTTTGTTTTTTGTTTGGCGAATAAAATAAATGGCAACGCCAGCGGCGGCGGCGTCTGAAGCTGAAGAGCCTCTCCACTGTAGCCAGTCTATGCGGCCCTCTCGCTCGCACCCGGCCGCCCCGTCTCTTTCTATCGCACTCTGGCCGTCTCTATCGCACTGTGGTGAAAAAGTAGCTTTCGCGCCGCCATTTTTTGTGGCGCCTTTGTTTATGCCACAGTTATTTCGCCTCCTCTTCCTCTTCCACGGCCATCATCTTGTGGCTTTTTGTGCCTTTTCTGTTTGGCAATTCCTCATAATGAGCGTGGCCTTTGTCGTTGTTGTTGTTGTTGAATTATTCATTTAATTGAATGTTGGCTTAACTTTTTCAAGTGCAAAAAACTTTGACATTTTGTGTAAATGTGGCAAATGTTTGCTTTTGCTTTCCTTCTTTTTATATAGCCCCTGTTCTTTTTTTCATTTTGTTTGCATTGTTTATTTAAATAAATCGTTTTTGTTCGGTTTTGTGGTGTAATGAAAGTTTTCAAAATTGTCCTCGAGATTAATAATGGCATAGAAGAAGTGATAAGTACAGTGAAAGCTATACCGGATGTAAGGAAGGAGGGTATTAATTAGCCTTAGGGGTAATGCTTTAAAGTATACCTTCTTTTGTAGCCTTATCCGCAAAAAAATATAACTTTTTAAGCTTTAAGGTACTCTCCTAATGGTAAATAAGAATATGTTAGTTCCCCTTGCCTGTAAAATTATACCTTTTTGAAGGGAAACCCGAAAAAAGTTAAATACATAAATAACTTGTAAAGGACAATCTTTGGACTCGCGGTCATATTATTTATCAACCTGGTGGCTGCCAATTCAGTTTTCCCCACTCTGTCCCAGTTCCACCTATGCCACAAAAGAATTTTCCGAACTCCCGCCCCTCCACGACGCTCCGATTTTCCACCCGCTCTAAACAAACCTAACAAAGACTGCAACTGACAGCAAATATTACTGAAGGAGAGAGGACGAGCGAGAGGAGCTGTCAATTCGAATAATGGATTTGCCAAAAAGCGGACTAAAAAGAAAAATGTGAAAGGCGAACAAAAGCTTTCAGCTCAACAATATCAACAACAACGGCGCAGGGAAAAATCGAAAGAAAGTAATTCGAAATTCAAGTTTGTTTCTAAATTGTATTTAAGTTTGCTGGATCTGGATCCCATCGATATGTTTACTTGAACTCGTGGCATTGGAAAAGAACACTAAATGGATGTACAATACGGGATGGCTTATAAGGAGAAAGGGTTCCTCCAGGGAGTTGGGGTAAAACTCTCCCCAAAAGTAGACCCCTTTTTTTTTGTTTGTTCGCATCCTTCAGATGCAGCGAGTTTCCCTGTTGTTGCCCTTTGGTTCGCTCAACTGGATGGCAAGTGAGTCGCATTTAATTTGCTTTTGTTTCGACGCAAACAATGGCTAAATAGAAATGCAAGAAAAAGTCATTTAACGAGTGCTTGACTCGGGGGAGTTCTGGATGGATTGCTTACTCAGGGGAAACCCCGGTGAGTTTTATTAAAAAATTGCACAAAACGCTGGCAAAATCCTTAAAGTTCAGATCGATAATGGCCTGGATGAGTTTGTCCTTTGGTTATGATTTGGATTTTGATTTTTTGTTATCGATGTTATGACAGCAGCTACTGATTAGTCCCCCAATCTAAGTAGGACTCTCATCCAATATGCATGAGCTGATCGAAAAAAGGTAGTCCTAAGAACCGGCATTGTTATGCTAAAGAACTTGCCTGTCAGCTGCCACGTGTCGAGTGTCTGCAAGTTGGATGGAAATTGAATTTACTATAACGCCTACACAGAGAAAATTATCAAAAGTTTTAGGTGCAAAATAAGGGGTGAAACATTTTAAAAAGTAAAACGTTTCATCCAAATTTATTTTACTTTGCATTTTTTAAACGTTTTCATTTTTATTTTTAAAACGTTTTTATATGAAAACGTCACCTAAAACGTTGTATAATTTTCTCTGTGTACACAGACAAAAAACTTCCTACCTATTTCTGATTCCCAAAAAAATTACCTAAAATTTTAAATAAATTTTTTTGGGTCATTCAAAACAAAAAACCTTCTTGGCAAAAAATTGTTTATTTAAAGAAAAAAAAATAATTTTCGGAATTTCGAATGGAAAGTTAAAGATGCGTGTACTAAATATTTCAAAAAAATATATATATGTCCTTATATATAATGATAACAACAAACTTAAGGAATTAATTTGTAGCACTTTTAAAATGTAAACTTTCAAATTAAATCTTTAAATATCATTTCATAAAACATTTTTAAAAACGAATATTTTTTTCAGTGATCTGGCTCAAAAACTGCAAGCCAAAAACGCCCGAGAGCCAAAGACCCGATAAGACTTGCGTGGGATTATCTGACGACGCTCTTGGCCCTCCGAAAAATAAACTACTTAACTTTGCAACTAGTTAAGCGGGTGAGAGACAAAGCCGGTCGTGATTTGGCGAATCAGAATTAATCGGGTGGGTGGTGCTCTATAGACAAGGTCGATCCCAAGACCGAACCCCTTCTTCAAGCGTAATCAACAGCTTCCTGAGCTGCTCTTCCTGCTCATTGTTTGACAGCCGCTTGTCACTTTTGACAGTTGCGTTGAGTGGCGGGTGTTTTTGGTTTGTCATTGTCATTGTACAGTTGGGTATTACGTTGATTAGTTTAACTTGCATAAGCGAGCGATAGAGAGGGAGATAGGGAGGAGTGAGTGGGTGCGAGAGATTGGCAGGTCGTGTGCCGCATTTTAATTTCGTTTTGTATTGCCCCATCCTTTGTCCGCAGATTATACACAATTCGAAAGAAACGTTGCCACCAGATAACCGAGGCTTTCGCGGCTTCAGTTACACAAAACACACAAAAAGAGAAACTGAAGTGAGCTTGGTTGGGATTGAAATAGTTTGTTTGTTCTGGAAATAACAGCCTTGAAGGAGCTCATGGTTGGTTGAGTTTTCTTGAACAATGTTGGTGGCGTTCTGTTTCAAGACAAAAACCCAAAAACTAAATAGATCTTAGAATACTATATGAAATAAAGACCTGTATAATAGTGCTTTAGCTTTATTGTTTTGCAGACAAAACTTTAGATTAATTTAATATTTGATATTACAGAATACTCCCAATGTACTCACATAAATAATCCACTAATACTCTTAAAACTTTAAAAAACTCACCCAGCCTCTTGGAAATCTCGGAATTGTGCATTTTCGGATTATCCTGAGCTATTTTGCGTCGCTGAAGACGCGACCAGACCATGAAAGCATTCATTGGACGTTTAATGTGCTCCTCGTTCTGTCGCTTCGTTGTGTTCTGGATCATCAGACTGAAGAATACATCGCTGTGGGTTGAAAACATACACGATTTTATTGAGCTAACAACTTGAAGATTAAGATTTTTGATTTTGAAAAATAACAATTTATTTCGGTTATTAAAAAAATAAACTAAAGAAACTAAGTATGTTAGGAGGCGTCCATATGTTTTAATAAAATTGGAGGTGGAGGTGTCAGCCAACAAAATAATTTGTTTGTTTGATAAATTGATTAAATAAAAGGATTAGGTATAAAACAAAAACTTATTAATTTTACCTGGCGCTGCTGCCGCTGTTCATGAGGCTGCCCATGTTCTGGTGGAGATTGCTGATGGGCGAGGCCTGCGAATTGTGGTGCAAGTGGGCGGCTGCTGCGGCGGCCATCACGCTGCTGGAGGCTGGAGCACTGTGGTGGCTACTGGTCGCACCGCCGGCCACTGAGCCCGCTCCACTGGCCGAACCCGAACCACCGCCCAGCTGGGAGCTGCCGTTGCTGTGCGGTTGGTGGGTCAGCGACTGCGGCTGGCTGTGGTGCGAGCCCGAGGACGAGGACACCGATGGCTGGCCCTGCTGCTGGATCTGCTGACCCGCCGGGTGGTGCTGGTGCAACTGCGAGTGGTGGTGCGCCAGATGGAGCGCCGAGTGGGGATGCAGGCCCAGACCGGTGGAGCCGTTCGGCGATCCGTTACTGCTGTTGCTGCTGCACGGGTGGTGCTGATGCTGCTGCTGGTGCTGCGGCGACTGGTGGGGATGGTGGTGCTGGTGGTTCAGCGACAACTGCTGACCGTGCAGGTGGTGTGAGTGGCCGAGTCCCTGGTCGGATTGTTGCTGCTGTTGCTGCTGATGCACCGCCGCCGCCAGTTGGCCGAGGTGGTGCGATCCGCCGCCGGTGCCCAGGTGAGACTGCAGGGGATGAGCGAGCGATAGGCCGGTGAGCGACAGGTGCGTGGACAGACGTTCCATCATATCGCAGACGGAGCCGGGCTTCCTCGGTGCCTCAATCTGTGGCCCTCGAGTCGGCGGGCGGACTGGGTGGAGCTGGATCTAGTGGTGCTGGAGTCGGTGGTGGTAAGAAGTTTTTGATGCGTCGAGCTAGAAGACAGAGAGATAAAGATTTATCAATTTTATTCGATTTATAAGATACCTACGGAAATAAGACTATTGCTTGTTAATAGGGGTTAATAAAAAGTATTTCAAAATAATAAAACTATCTTAAAAGCAGATAAAAACTGGCAACGGAAATAACCAATATTTCTAAGGTTTTTATACCCTGGCAGAGGGTATTATGACTTTAGTCAGAAGTTTGCAACGAAGGAGAAGTTTCCGACCCCATAAAGTATATATATTCTTGATCAGCATCACTGACAAGTCGATCCAGCCATGTCTCGCAGTTTTTTAACTATCGGGATAACACTTTCCCAAAAGTCTTCTTTCTATTGCAGGTAGTATAGAAGTCGGAACCGGCCGGATCGGACAACTATATATTATAGCTCCCATAGAAAAGATCGGAAAAAAACGTAAAAAAATTCTAGTTTTGTTTTTTTTTAAATATTTATGAATTTCAAATTCATTTTAGAAAAATTGGAACACTACATCATATATCTGCCATAGGAATCATCGGAAAATTAATGAAAAATAATAGGAAATTGAACATTTTTGAGATTTTTCGGCTGGCCGAAGCTGGCTTCATTTCTTGTTTTTTAAGAGACTTCTCTGGTTTGTAATGATTATTTTCGATTATTTTTGAGCCCTTGTAAAAAGATTTTGCTTTAATTAATTCGAAAATAAATTCATCAAAATATCAGCTCTATTAATTCACGTTTTCTCACAATAAAACATCTGGCTAACTTAATGGTTCGGAAATTCAGCTAGCCGAATATGGGCAGCAAATCTCTTCGAGATGGGACCACAGTCCATGCAAATATCCACTGCAGATGACACATTTGCGAAGGATAATGCGAGGCGAATAGCAGGCCATACATGTGCATGTAGAAGGAGGACTCGCACTCACTTTCGGGCATATGTCCCCGGCACGCCCGCACTCGATTGTCCTCGAGATCCTGCTCAGGACGAGGACAAGGACGAGGAGGAGGAAATCCGAATCCAAATGCGAATCCGAAAGGGACCATTAAACAAATTGAAAGCGTTTAGCCGGACGCTGGCTTCTTGACCCTTTTCCCTGCCCGCTCGCCGTATTTAACACGTTTGCGGATGGAGCCGGGGGCATCAAGTGGACCACGTAAATCCCGCTTATAATGCACGCACATGTGGGATTGAAAGACCCGGAGTATTGAAGCCTATCAACAGCCGCCACATGACCAGCTCATCCCACCGTGTCCAAAACAAGCGGCTTGGGTGCAAATAAAGTACACAAAAATGTAAAATGGGAAAGAAATGGGTTTCAAGTGCCCCGTCGCATAATGGAAAGGATGGACGACGTCGTCGTAGTCGTCTCATTTGTTGTTGTGTTATTGTGCCTCCCGGTCGGTTTTAAGGGTTGACATTTGGCCCACACAATGGGCGCAAAAGGAGTGAGTTGGTTTTTCGAGTCCAATTCCGGGCGAGTTGAGGTGGCAACCGCCAGCGCGGCTCGCAAGTGGTTTTTTTGGCCCCGGAGTCCACGACTCCACTCGGCATTGTTTTTCTTTTTTGTCCCCGAAGAATGGGCCTCAGACGACATACTTTTAAGAGCTCAAATCAATTAGTTAATTGATTAACAATGCCCCATTGGGCAAGGGGTCACATGCCGCGGGAGGGGAAACGTCTGCGAGCGAAAACAGGAATAATTAATATTATAATTATTTTTGTGTGGGTAGTCAGCTAATTAGAGTTGATTGGGTGGACTGTGAAGGTTTGTTTTGGTCTCTCAAGGTCTTGTAAGAACAAACTTATCAGCTAATTTAGTTTCCAAGTTATATTTTAATAGCTAATATCACTAATATTTTAAAATATGGTTTGGAAATGAAGAAATAAACTAAAGATTAAATATAAAAATCATATAAAATATTTATAAAATATAATTTTTAAGGTAAACAAAAAATTGGTTCAAGTTTTGAAATCAATATATATGCAATATTTTAATTGTTTACCACAGAATAGATATTTTTAAGTTAAATATACAAAATTAACAATGCCCGTGGACATATTTCTTGTGTTTATATTCAAATATACTGTTTTATAAATAGGTTAGCTTCTTGAAATAATTACCAAGAATTTATTTAAGCAGCATAAATTTCGCAGCCATTATTTACTTAAGAAAATATATATTTCTGGAGTTCTTTTATTGACCTTGAATAATTTATTCAATTTAATTTATATAATTGCGTAACGCGGATGTGTGAAGGGTGAAGTTATTTGCATGAGGATTTCTATCATAATCCCCATTCGCTTGAGTATATTTTCAATAAAATGATGTTTGTCTAAACTTAGCTATTGTATAAAACAATTTAGCTTCAAAAAAAACTTTTTTAAAATTTCCATTTATTACTTCTCGGTTATTAATTTTTGGACATTGCTGGCTTTATGAAGTGACCAACCTGGGCTGAAACCATTTATCTTTAAGTGTCCCACTCGAATGTTTTTTCCTGCTGCCTTATTCCGCAGTCTCTCCATTTTTTGACCCTGTTCATTGGCATTCCTGGCCATGCAACACATCGTGGTCAATAACTTGTGTTGGGCTATGAGAGGCGACATCTGTACTGCTTCCGGGCATTACCACTTGGTGTTAAAGTAAAAATTGCCCAGGCATGCGTATTAAGCATGAAATTTATTTTAAACGAAAAAGAGGAGCTGCGAGCGCGAAGCCCAGGGACACGCATATTTGTAATCCTTATGGAGTGCAAACAAATTTCTGTGTTGTCAAGTTGCTCTCCTTATTTTTGCTCCTCTTTTTCACGTTGTTCATTGGCATAATACACAGCGAGAAATTATTGTTACAAAGTCTGTCAAAGTTGATTTATTCAATGGACTAATATATCTTAAAAGTTTAAAAGGTCTATTGTTCCTAACAACTTCAGTCGGATTGAACTGGGTTAGTTGGCTGTTAGAAGCTTATGTCTTACGCCGTGTGAATATGCTTCATTCAAGGATCAAGAATAATTGTTGACTAATATGATATTAGCTTCTTTTAAAAAGTTAGTTTTATGAATTTTTATAGGTTTGTTTATAACAACACGTCACAATTGAGTTTATTGAAGTTGTAAAAAATTTAATAAAATCGTAAATGACAATGTAGAACTGACATTTTTTCTTGATGTGGTGCAGTTTCAGTTGCCACAGTTGCAGTTTCAGTTGCACCACAGGGCCACCGTCCGTTTCGACGGTTGCACCACCAGCTGTGCACAAATTGCACTCCAGATATTTTTATTTGCTGTGAATATGCCAGCTCCTCTTTTTGATTCGCTCCTCCATGCAGACAGAATGTCTCTCCGATATTTATTTGTAACGGAAATGTAACCGTTAAGCCCAAAAGCGTGGGTATTCTCAGAGTGTTAATCTAGTAGCTCTAATAGATAACCCACCAGACACCTTGTGTCCGACACTTTCTCATGCAAATCGAGAGCTGGGGCCGTTCTTCTGTTTCGTGTCTCAGTAGGAGTAAAATTAACCCGCTGGCCACTTGAGTTTCGGGGGCCATACAGACCCACTCGTAACCCCCGTCCAGGTTGGCCGTGTTGTTGCTGCTTTTCGTTCATTTGTTCATCCGTTTGTTGGTGTGTCAAACAAGAATTATGATCGGCTTAGCCACATGCTGAGCCCGAGATCTCTCCCCCCACCACCCAGATTCTTCTTCGCCGCAGCGGAGAGGAGTCCCGCGGTCTGCAGCCTCCAGTCTCCCAGTCTTCGGACGGAGTCTCAATACAGGTAGAGCTTTAAGTGTCTCCACTTTGTGTTGAAATGTATCGCAGATACAGGGTTTTCGGTCCCAGCAGACCCTCCATTCAAAAGTGTCGTCTTGGCCGCCCGCTGGGATCGGATCTTCTCAGGGCCCTAAGCCGCTGGGCCCCCTAATGTTTGTAATTAAGAACTTTCACACTCGCAACAATCGCCTCGTAAACGTACCAGTATCACCTTATCCCCTGCTCCCCCAAGGTTTAGTGTCAAGTTCGTGCCAAGGGCAATCGAAAAGAAAAAGAAATGATACAAAGTCAGCCACAGATACAGATACAGATGCTTGGTGATATAGCCGAATATTAATTAGAATTCTTCGCAAACTCTTCTTGGGATTGTACTCTTTTTATATTAAGCAAATTTGTTAAGCAAATACGATGGCCAAAACAATGGCCCAAAAATATTTGATTGACATCTGGTTCTGCTTCCATTGGGTCGCAAAATAATTTCACAAAACTCTGTTTGCACAATTGGGTTTTTTGTGAGCTGGTCCAAAGTCGATTTCTATATGAAGGGGGCACGTCACATTCAGATCAATTGTTGTCACAAATTTTGTGTAAATATTAATAAACATACTTTGCTTTCCTCTATTTCTGCTACTCTTATTTGCTCTAATTGCGTCATTTACAATTCCCTGGGGTTTTTGACTCTTTTCCTTGCAGCTTTTCACATTCCTTGAGTCGGTTTTCATTTATAGTTCGAAATTAAGTTAACCAAACAACCTTGAATGCCCCTCGGAGAGAGAAAAAGAGCTTGCTTTAATTCAAGTGGAAGATCGAAAGCAAAAGTAAACACACCTCGAGTGGGGGCATAAAGATTCCGACAATGATTGGGCAGAAAATGAAAAGAGGAAAATCCTGAAATTATCCAAACAATAAAATCTGTTGATTCCCCTTGTATCTTGGGCACTCAGACTCATTTTGTGGTGCTCTCTCCATGTTTACCTAATTGATGGTCAGGAAAAGTTTTTCAAATTGCGTTCTGAACGGCTTTGAATTAATTACATCTTTTCAAAAACCAAAAGAGGCTTTTAATTGATTTTTGCCTGAGAATTTATTTGGGTTACTATTAGTTCACTTACATAAATTCATTAAACTTAATTGGCTATTAGAATAAACATTTAAGGTTTAAGCTGGTTTAAGTTATTTTACGGCTTCTAAAAAGCATATTTTTGTTAATAAAGTATTACAATTAATATCAAA